AAATTTATAATTAATTGTATATTAAAAATACATTTTTACTAGTATATATATTTATACTTAAATATTATATATTATATATATATATATAGATATACCTAAATGGTAACGTTATTATATACAAAAGTGATCATTGTGATATTCGTGAATTAAATTGATAATAATTTTTTTGTTTTGTTTGTATTATCAATGAATTTCTCTTGCAACAGCATCGAGTATCCTTTGAAAGGTAACATCGTCTAATCCAGAAAAGGGTTTATCCAAAGCAAAGGGTGAAAGAACGTAACGTTTCCTTCGTCTTCGACGAAATATGTCGTCGTAATCTTCATCTGTCGTAGGAGGATTTACTTTCGCGTAATACAATGCTGCAAATCCGCTGTAAATTAACAAAGCTGCTGTGGCAAGCTGTAAATAAAATTGATTTAACGTTAAATATTATATTTACTCGTTCTAACGTATAAATATATTTTAATAATACCAATTGTTACGTCATTTGTAAACTTAAAAATGCGATATAACATTTGAAACAATCAAACTTTTTTCTTCGACAATTGTTTCTTTCAATAATATTAATAATTGATAAATTTAAAAATAACATATTAAAATTTTCTCGTTACATATTGTTAATCCAGATTTATAATTGTGTTGTAAAATATTTATAAAATATCATAAAAAAATACGATATATATTATAATAAAAAAAAAATACAATTATTTTCATGTACGATATAACAATTGAAACAATCGACCTTTTTTTATTTTTTTTTTCGACATTTATATTTAACGTAATATTAATAATATTAATAAATTATAAAATAACACATTAAAAAAAAACGATTTCAGAAATGATGTTCACCATACATATTGTCCAATCCAATTTTATAATTATTTATATCCATATTTATTTACATATGTAAATATTACATACTTGAAATACGGCCCAAAATTTGTAGCTTCCCTCGTTTATAAGAAAATCATAGTAACCGGCCCAATAATCGACTTTCGGTTGACTTATAGCTTTCATATCGCCGTGATCATCGTTTTCATCCTGATCATGGTCATGACGATGATCGTCGTTATCATCGTGATCGTTCATGTAGTCTGGAACATCCTCGTCTGGTTTTTTATTATAACCACGCCGATAATATCTCGATCGTCTACTTGAAACGAAAAGAAAAAAAAAAAGAAAAAGAAAAAAATTACATCCTCGTGTGTGGAACACTTTTTATTTTATTTGATTTTATTTTTAACACACTCGAACAATCTTCGTTGTTCCAAGAAATAACAGACACACACACATTTTATTTTTTCAATTATTTAAAAAAAACATTCTTGAATTGGTTGTTACCTGTACGATTGAAGTTCCGTGTTTCCATGATCAACAGGTGTCTTCGTAACAGGTTGAAAATTAATCATAGTAGTTGATATAGATTCCAAATTTGTTTCTCTCGTCGATACATGATCGAGGTAAACGAAAATCACGAGAAATCGAATAAACCGATCGGTATGCATTCTGTTGCAATTAAAATTGATCATAATAATTATATCTTTTTTTTTAATTATATATTATATATATTACAATTGGAATAATTTTAATATATTACGTATATACGTAATAATATTTTGTATTCATTGAGTTTTTAGTAGAAAAGAAAAAAAGAAGAGAAAAATAATAATAATAATAATTAACTCACCTAAATGTATCGATTACGATGATATTCCTTTTCGATTATTTAACGACGAAATATTATTACGTTACTAACGGAAAAACCGGTTTTTTATGATTATTCTTTTTTCTCTTAAAAACAGAAAAAAAAAGAAAACTAATAGGAAAACGTTTTGTACTTATTTATCGTAATAATAATTTACTAAACCACAAGACAGGTTATCGATCGATACACGTAAATTCATCGATGCGAGAAACGAGATAGAAACGTAACATGTTCCGAGATTAGGTTAACACGCGAGAGAGACAGAGAGAGATAGAGAGATATTTTAAGAGAAAAAAAAAACAAAAAAAAAAAAGAAAGACACAATTGAAGTAATCCGTAACCTTCGTCGATGAATATAAAGAACGAACTGAACGATTTCTCGAAGTTAGTTTAGTAAGGAACCGTTTTTCTGTTTATTATCCAGACCGTAACTGTATCGTAAGAAACGTTAAACAAATGGGGAGGCTTTTGGTGGTAAACGCTAAGAGTACTAATTGTTACGGATCGTGACATTTATGCTAAGAAATATTTTCTTTCCTATAATTATCAAGGTAAACGCATCATAAATTTTATCCCATTAATCTGTATTCTTATTATATTATTTCACATCTTTTATCTTTACATTATTCATACCAATGTATCTATTATTTATTTTTTTTATGTGTTGATTTTTGTTCATTTAAAATATTAAGAAATCATTTAAATATTATATATATTTCGAAGTATAATGAATTTACGATTTATTTGTTCTATCGATATTAGAAAAAAAGTTGAAGATTAATTATTAAAAGATAATAATATTGTATTTTTTTATTGATCGTTCGTGAGAATGAATTTTTTCAACGTATTAATATTTTATCTCTATGTCGATGCAAAATTGAACCCAACCAAAGTAACACCATTCCTTTATGGTGTATTAGAGCAGAATATTAGCGTGTTCCTTCCTAATCGAGTCCCGTTCGGTCGATACTCTAAAATCTTTGAGCATGGGGTGATAATTACAGGTAGATAACGTTGGTTAGAAGAGGAAGATTGAAACGTGTGTTGTTTTTCCCTATTATATTTTTCTATATATCTTTTATATATATCTACAAAAAAAAAAATAATAATAATATCTAAAATAAATATATATATATTTAATTTATTTTTTGATGAGAGAGACAAATATATTTTTGTATTAATTAGAGATATGTTAATTTTTAATATTAATTTGTAATTTTATTTGTTAATTCATCGGAGAGAAATTAAGAACAAAACAAAAAGAAACAATTTACGATGTTATAAAAAATATTGTTAGATAAAATTAGCGAATTCAACGCGATCGATTCATTTAATTTTATTCGAATCTCTCGTTGTCAAATGAAATTGATTCGTGGTAAATATTTAAGTAGTATCTTTTGAAGATGAGAGGGATACCGACAGTTAAGTATAATTGGATTGATCAGGAATGTCGACAGGATCAATATTCACGGCTCGTTTTAAAGTAATCCTTTTGTATTTTGCCAATACCGATTAATTCTCAATACTCGAATGCTCAAAAACTGACAGAGAGAATTTCAAGGACGACGATAAAGAAGCGGTTGTCACCAAATATACTCATTTTATATTATTCTCAAATTCAAGGGTTTTACACATACACACATACACATGTACTCATATATATATATAGGTGCATAGTTATTCGTGACAATAAAAAATCGAAATGATTAAAACGAAATTCGATTAATTGAAATTGTTTTTATAATCTTTGATATTATTTTATAAATATTTATATAACTTTTTGATTAAAAATTGCAAATTAAATAAAAATATTTTACGAATGAAAACATTTTTAATATCAGTCGTAGATATTTAACTTAAATTACATTTATTTACATATTAATATATATATATGTATATAATACATATGAAACTTTGAAAGAGTCGATTTGTTGAGGAACGAATTAAAATATTAACTTACAAATGTTACATTCGTTTTAATTATCTTTGAATAAAATTTCAAAGAAAGATAGTATATATCTAATAATATAATAATGATCTCTCAAGAATTCCACAAATCAACACATTTCTATAATATTTCTCACGATGACATAATTGATCGATAGTTTCAATGTTTTTTTTTTTACATAAATATATTACACGTATATAAAACATATAATTTTTCTACAATTCAGTATTATACCTCGTATTAACGTTAAATACTTTTTTTCTGACTTATTTTATAATAATTTATAAATATATATCCATATATATATTAACGACACATTATATAAAAAAAAAAAAACCAACAATAATTGCAAAGAATGCAAATTCGTCGTGATCTATGGTGAATGGGATAATTTTTTTTAAAATGAAATCAATCGTAATTATTACGATCCTTTTCCAAATCTATCGGAAAAATCTTCGACACCATTGAAAACACGATTGGTTAAATCCCACCAATCAAATGATTCATTATTATTCATTCTACCGTGTCCAGCAACTTCTGCCAAATGTGAGGGAAAAGTAATTTTGTGTCTGGCAATACTTTTCAAAACTAACGCAGCTATGTAAACGATAAAATAAATACTGAAATAAAGTGGAATGTACCAAAGTTTTTTCCCAATGAAATAATATGAATATGGTCTTTTGTCGAGTCGTTGATCATTCATTTCAGGTTCTGGTGTAGTAGTATAATGATGATGATGATGATAATTATGATAATCCGGTATATGATCGTAAATTATTTCCTGATGATGATCATGATAATGATCATGATCCCGAGGATACGTATCATCATTATCATCATCATTGTTATCATCATTATCATCAAAAGTTGTTGGCCTATCAAATTCGATTGGTTTAGGTGCAGCATGATCATCGTAAGATGGTTCCGATGAAAAATTAGGAAAATTGGTGTCATCGTTTTGATGATTTGGAAATAAATCCATCGGCTAAAATACAACAAAAAAAAAAAGTTATACGCGTTAATTATCATTGTTTGTTTGTTTCTGATTTAATTATAGTATATTAAAGAGTGAAACAAAAGAGTTCGTACGTTTATTGTGTTATCAATTTTGTTTTATATAAATTGTATAATGGATTGTATTGTTAAATTTATTTTAGAAATATTAATTTAAAAAAACGTACAAACTTATTTTGTTATATATTCTAATATAATAAATAAATGATATTTACTTTATCATCCGTTACAATAGACGGATAATTATTTATACCAATTGGTTTTGAAATTGGTTTATCCATAAGATAATCCTTTGGTTTATTGTAATCATTTGTTTTGATACTATAAGGGCCAGCGTATATAGGTCTTGAATATCCTGAAATACTCGAACTTGATGGAATATTTGGATTCGTATCAGCTGACATTGAAGACATAGGTGTTGGACCGGATGAAACTATTTGTTGTTTAACTTTATGCTCGAAACTTGCTGGTGGATGAAATCTGTCTTGTATTTTACTTTTCGATTTGGTCGAATCTAATTTGGCCAATAATTCTTCATCTATAGTTGAGTATCTAATAAATAATATTATATATAAGTATATAAGTATTCATATTGTTCCGTATATGTTATTTAAATTTAATTGACAATATAAATATATAATAAAATATAATATTATTTTATTTTGTTATTAGTGTTAAATAAATTGATATTATAGTATTATATTTATTTATTACTTACCGTTTCGTCGAAGGATGATCTATAACTTCACCATTTTTTAATTTTGAAATTCTTGATGGCACATAAACAGGTGACATAGTAATAACAACGTCCTTTGCATTTCTTCCTTCATTTTCAACAATCCCAGAATTATTGGCTCTTACGAGTGCCCTTAAAATTAAATTTAAAAAAAAATATATATATATAAGTGCAAAACTATTTTAATTCCAATAATAATATTAGTTTTCGAATAAAATTGACATTTTATTTGACACGCGAGAACACGTTTGTATTATTTTTTTTTTTAAATTATATTTTACTTCTGTTATATAATAACGTCACGATTAACATGTAACAATAATAATAATCCTTTTTTTTTCTTAATCGTCAGACAAACGACATCATGCTTATTGTATTTTTATTGGATGTGTTTGCGATTAAACCTTGTGATCCATGAAAATGGCCCGTTTCCGGTACTTTTCGTCTCTTCACCATTCCTCGATACTTTCGCGTATGACGTTATTTCCGGTAACGTCAATGCAAATGATTCGTTTAATATATGACCGAGTATTATTAACAAAGCGACCAAAATTCGTGGTATCATCTTCTCTGATTTCTATGGGTGAATGGTCAACGCCACGTAACTTCTTGTATTCATATATAGACTCATAACTGTAACTGTTCGACTTACTATGGTGGTGGTGGCAAAATTTTTGTCCAAAAGTATTTTCTTACTCTTAAATCATATAGAAACGTTCAATTCTAAATTTCGTTAAATTATGGATCGTTGTTTTTTTTTTTTTTAGAATAAGACAAAATTGTCATTTGTTTAAATATAAATATATAATGTATCGTATATAAAATCACATTATACATTTTTTAATTCCCCAAATAAAATTTACTCATATTTATTGACGAATAATTATACGCAATTAATTTAATCGTTTTAATTCGTGGTTGTTCGGTTATTTAAAATTATCGATCATTGTCATCGAGTGTAAAAAAAAAAAAAAAAAGAGAAAAGAAATTAATCGACAAAATTTTGAATGACGTCAATAAATATCCCGTCGAGTTTCCCGACTATACTAATTGGACGAAACGATGTCCGAACAAAATTGCTCTAATTTTCTTCACAAACTATAACCGCAACCGTTACTAGGGATAAATATTTTGTCGTAACGACGTGTGAATTAAGATAAAGACAAACAACCACGTTAATTCGACCTCTCTCTCTCTCTCTCTCTCTTTCTCGTGTACGAGAGTAAATTACATAAATTGAATAATACTTAATAAAATTGTTTGCTTTTTAAGAGAAATTAACATAAGATCAGAAAATATATTCGAGGTAATTTAAGGATAATATAATAAATCGTCATTTATATTTATAACGGTTTACAAGATTATTGTTTTCATGGAAAACTTATCATCCATTTCTAATGAAACATACTTATCTATTAAGCATAATCTAAATACTATTATACAGAGAAAAAAAAAAAGAAATTTTATATTAAATANTATTAAATATATAATAATAATAATAATAATAATAATATATATATATTAAAATAAAAGAGATAAAATTTGCAATGTTCCCAGTCAAGGACAATATTTACAAAACATAGATATTAACTATACAATTTTTATGTACAAATAACAGTAAATTATAAAATTTACATATTATCGATCTTCCGTTTATCATCAAAACGAAATAACATCAATCAATATATAATATATAACAATTTATTATAAAACGGACGTAAACATTTTTATATATATTCTGTAAAAATATATATATATATTTGTTCTCCGATAGATTACGCGAGTGTGTATCGAATTATTTAAAAAATAAAAATAAAAATATTTCTGCCATATATATTATAATATAATACTTTCCATCTTCATAATATATTTTTGTTCGTCTTCATATATATATATATTATCTCCATCCTATCGAAATACGACAAAAAGAAAAAGAAATTTCGTTTCACGTAAAAGAGAGATCTCTAAAAAGGAACTTGATTAAAAAAAAAAAATACAAGAAAGATCATTTTTAAATGTCCGGTCGTATCTCTATCGTAATATTACACTCGTCTTCATCATTTTGTTCATCCCCTTGATCCTCGATAAAATTAGGATTAACCAATCCATTTTGTCCATTTTCTATTTTATCCAAATTCGTTGATGATTTTTCCATATTGTCGAGATTTTTCGCGTTATTAATAGCTTCGAAATCTTTCGTATCTTTTAATGTAACGTTGTTCAAAGTAACTTTGTCCTTATCTTTGACAAAACTTTCATTATCGATTCCACCGAAGTTATCTATCGACATTTTATCTTTTTCATTGGTAATATCATGATGCTGATTTTTTTCGTCCAATGGTATCGTCTCAACGATACCACGATCAAGACCATTCTGATTACCCGTCATCGTCTTTGGCTTCTTCTTAACAATGTCGTTCCCTTCCACTTGAGGCCTTTTCTTCAAATATAACGCATTGAAGAAGAAGTATATTAAACCGGTCACTAAAGAGATCACTGCGAAGATCTGATAAGTTGGTCTGGTACCGAATGCTTTCATCAGATAACCACCGATCAAACTACCAGAACCTTTACCTGTGTGAATAAACATGTATATATGTGTATCAAGAATAACACAATGAAAAGAAATATCAAATACAACTTGTTAAGCAAAGTTTCTTTCTTTCTTTCTTTTCTTTTTTTTCTTTTAACTCTTTGAAGCATGATAAAGTTTAAGATTGTCCACCATCTTTCTTTTTATTTAAATATGTACAAAAGGTTATGTTCGAAAGATTTAAATTACATTTGAAATACAACTTCGAAGTCATTATTTTTATAATTGAATAAAC